ATTTTAATTTTGCACGATTGTTTTTTTCGATTTTATTTTTTGTGGTATATGAATCTTACGGGGTATTCTAGTATAGGAATTTAAAACAAATAGTTCTTTTTTAACAACCCGTAGGGTAAGTTATTGTAATCGTCCAAAAATCGAAATTGAAAGATAAAGAGCAAAAAGTGCAGAAAATAAAAATCGAGTTCTTGAGAGAACGGATCCGATTGAATGATCTAAAAAACATTCAATTAGTAATAATTGGGAGAAGTATTTATTAGTTTTTGACAAAGGCAGGCCCAGCCATTTCGGAGATACAGAGCTAAATGTGCAAAAAATGGCAGTTTTTGAGAGAACCAAGCGTCCGATTTAAATGATTCAAAAAACTTTCTGCTTGTTTTAACAAAATAATTGATTTTGGAAAAAAAGTTTCAAAATTTTTTGTTCAATTTTTTTTTCAAAAACTTTTTTGTATATCGAAAATAATTCAGATTTTATTTTTAATTTTGACTAAAGATCTAATATACTTTGAACAAATAATTTCAACTTTGCGATTCAGTTTATATAATTCTTATAAATATTAGACAATGTTACAATATTATAATAATCTATTTAAAAACATTCAATATTCCTCGAACATTTTGTTACGATACGGAAAGTTCCAGCTATTTGCCTTAAGGCACGATGCCATACACCCACTAGTATAACTTTATGATGCTCATTTATATACACCCGCAAATTACTTGTTATCACCATATATGAAAAACGCTGTTGATATGTTCAATATATTTTCCTTCATTTGCTTCAAATTTTAAGAATATCATCTATCATAGGGCACCCGTTCTACTTAACTTCAGAAGCACTTTTCAAGGCTTTTTTTATTAAATCTTATCATTCATTTTTATTAAACATTATCATATATAACAATTCTATTCTTTGCTCTCCAATACAATTCTATACACCTGTCCGTTAATTTAAAAAAAATTAACATAGTATAGGTACTTCGTGTCCATAATAATTTATGAATGTGTTGAAAGTTTTTATAATTTGTGTATTTTTTAGAATCGGTAATGGTGCCAGAAGAACCGCCACCAAGTTACGAAGAAGCGCTTTTATTTCCACGACTGAGAGCGTTGGCGCGCTCCGCCACAACACGTGAGGGTCTCTTTCTTAATTCTGGCCCTTCTGCTCCACGAAGAGCATCGTTAGGGGTCCCCAGGAGAATTATTAATATGGAAACCAGCCTTTGATATTCGCATAAAAATTTAAGTGAAATGTCTTTAGGTAAACTTATAGAAAACAAAGTGTAAAAATTGTTACTACTAAAATACGAGGCACAAGTAGCGAAATTTGGAACTTTAACCCATAGTATGAGAGAGGCCTAGGCAAATCGATTTTGCATATTTTTACTGATTTTTTAATTCTGGTGAAATTATTAATACGTTATTTGTATTTGAGCGTTCCAACGTCGAAACATTTGCAAATTACAAAAACAAGAATACAAATAACTATAGGAAATTGCAAATAATAAGAGTAAGGAAGCATGCATATGACTTAGATACTAAACGTATATTAATTTACGTTTATAAAATACTAGACATCAAAAACATATATAATGAATAATTTAAGTAAATATATGAGTGCCAATGCCGAATTTTTATAATTAAAAGTAGTAAATTATAGGTATTTTGCAAAATCATTACCGGTTTCATGAAACAAGTAGCTATAGCTAAGTGAATGCAATTGTTGTATTCAGAAAATTAGATAGCAATGCAAAATATTCAACAATTTAGTATGTTAAATAAATATTATTTTATAACAATAAATAGTTCAATCAAATATCAAAATACGCGAACAAATTACAAAATATTGAAATATAGTTTAAACAGAATTTGATGGTGTTTAACAAAATAATTTTATTTTATTTGTATATATATTAAACTTATAAGATAGTTGAGTTAAACTAAAATCACTCATGTACCTGTACAAATGTAACTGTAAGCTATTATATTGCACAATATTAAAATATTCTTAATATATAAACCTGCCCTAAAATGCAATTTTTAAACGTAAAATAATTTTACGCTAGTTTTTGGTACCTTACGAATGAAAAATTTTACCAAACAAAAATATAGTTATTAATTGTATATTATAAAATTAGCAAAATTCATTCAATCGACATTATTCTTATATACATTTTGTCGCTGAAAATTCAATATGTGATGTATACTTAATTAAAAATATATGTATTTTGATTTATTTATATATATATATATATATATATATATATATATACA